TAAAAAATTTTTGATTGTCGTTAGTTTAAAAAAAAAATTTAATGACAACCTGTGGGAAACAGCGTGAACAACCTGTTCGATGTTCAGTATTTTTTTTTTTTTTTTTGCCTTATGGAGACATTTTTCCTTACTTCATGGATGTCGTCATTTTCAACAAAAAAAAAAATCCATTTGTTCGACAAACGAGAAAAACTCTTCAGATTCAAAATATAACCCGAATGTGGTCAATAAATATTTGTATGTATGTCTAGGAGTCTAGACAAAATAATCATTTTTATTTATTTTATTTTTTCTGAAAAATTTCCATAAACTCTTCATCTTTTTTTTTGGACATCAACATTGACCATCATCATCATCAAACTTTTTACTGGCAAAGCAAAGAAGCCATTACCTTTTTGTTTTGTGGAAATAATATCCTTAATCATCATAATAAGTAAATGAATTTTTGTCTATGATGATTATGGACTTGTGATGATGATGATGATGAACCAAGTCACGCGATATAAACCAAAAAAAAAAGACCAAACATTGTAACAACCATCATCATCATCATCATCGTAATCATCATCAACCAGATCGAAAACATCTAAACAGATTATCATCATCATTTGCTTATTTTTTTCCCTTATTATACTGATTTAAAGTTCTTTAATTCAATTTCTTATTTCAAAACTTTTTTTATTTGACGAAATTGACTATGAAAGATGATGATGGAGATAAACGACATGTGTTTCGACGCTTGTTGTTGTTGAGAAGTGAAAAAAAAGTGAAAATCTTGGTTTGACAGGTAGGCCAACCTGAACATTGCGAAAGAAGAAAAAAAAACATCAACATCAAGACCCTCTCTCAAGTTGCAAAGTTAGATTTCAAATTCGATGAATATTTTTCCATGATGCTATAGCCAAGTGATCGATAATATTTTTTTTTTGTGGTCGCGGTCATCATATTTAAATGTTATGATGAATAGAACACTGCATAAGTATACTGCATCAATATTTACTTTTCGGCTTTCGAAATCTTTCTGATCATCATCATCATCATCATTGATCAGTGAAATCAAAATGGATGTGATTCTTGTTATGCCAACAGTAATATTTTTTTTTCCATCATCATCGTCGTCATTTTCTTCTTTATTTGTCCACTTAAATTAAATTAATTCTTTGAATAAGATGATGATGATGATGATGATGACCTCCCTCAGCACGTCTCTCTCTATCTTATTTAAAGTATTTGAAGCTGGTTACTGGTATTCAAGTTCAAATCAAATCTCCCGAACGAAGATTGATGGGCCATCTTCATTTAATAAGCTATTGGTGATGGTCAAAATGGTGAAATGTTTTTTTTTTTTTGGTGTAAAGATACTTGCTTTTCGATGATGTTTCGACAAATATTATCGATAGGTAAAATATCTGCGACAACAGTTTGTTTTTGGTTAGATAAATAGAAAAATTCAAACATTTTTCATCCATCTCTTTAATTTAGCTAATCTCAAGTTTCGGATTTTATCGATATCTTTTGGCTCCCACATCATCATCATCACTATGTTTTGATTTCGATCGTTTTTTTCCAGGTATATAAGAGAAAATTAATTTTCATTCTTCAATGATGAAGAAATATTTTCCAAAAACTAATGGTGATTGCAATAGTTCTTGTTACATTTGTTTTTTTTTGATTATAATCCATTTTCGTTCAGTTTTGTTGTTGTTTTGTTTTTCATCATCATAGATCAAGTCACGATTTTTTTAGATCAGTTCAGCTCAAATTGGCAATATCCATATAGCTTTACATTTTTTTCTTTCTTACCTTCAGCATCTAATATGAATATTAATTACATCGTTGCTATAGCAGAAAAATTCCACTGATCGAGATATAAATCGAGTGAGAAGGATAAAGAAAGATTCGAACCAAGATCTATACCATTCAAAGATGTATATGAACATCAATAAGGATTCTTTTCAATTCATTCAGATAGGAAATCGTGACTTTTTCAGTAAAACGATAATTCGACGAAAAAAAAGAAGAAAAATCTTGTCATAATTCAGCATAAAATAAAAGGGATATTTTCGTGTTTCGATCATCATTGCAGAAGAAGAAAAAAAAACAAAATATTCAACCGGATTTTTTATCCGGTTTTTTGTTTTGTTCACTCCATTGCATATTCATATGCGAAAAAAAATAATCATTATTTTCTTGTTTCCTCGGAAAAAAATCGAGTTAATTATCCATTCTAATAGAAAGCAAAAAAAGAGGCATGGTTATTATTTGTCGCTGTCGATATCGGGTCTCACCCTAATCAATTGTTCAATTGGTCGTGTGTCGATCAATCGATCGATCGATTGATAATCAAAGATATGATTATTAATAATCCATTCATTACATTCGTTAATCATCATCATCATCTACGATTGACTACCTGAAAAAAAACGAGAAAAAAAACGGAAATTAATTAAGTAATAAAATTTAAATTTAAAATCAATCGGAAAAAAATATGGATGACACTCCTTCAATAGTTCACATGACACACAGGATGTAAGATTGTTCCGTTGAATAAAATATATTTGTCATTTTGCGTTTATAAACACAAGTTGATTTGACGGTTGACAAAAAAAAATTATTATTAACAACAAACAAATGTCAACGACCAAATAACAATCAAAATAACCGCAAAAACTTGACAAAAAAAAGGCAATGACTTTATTCAGGTTATGATGAGAAAAAACATCATGGAACATTTTTTTTTTGTTTGTTATTTCTCTGAGCCGCATCCTTCATCATTTTTTTTCTCAAGTGATAATAAGGAACAACAAAGGTAAAAATAGACAAGGCCCGTATTGTAAACAAAACAAAATTTGGCTATTGTTACTCAATATTCGATTCGAGAGCCATCATCAAAACAAAACATCAAAAGGATGTGTTGTTTTCATGTCAAAATTTTGTTTTTCTTTTTTTGAATTTCATTCATTCTTAAGATGTCAAATGTTGATTGTTGATTTCGACGATTATCATGTCATCACGAATATTATTGTTGTTGTGGTTAAAATGTATACAATTTTTATGTCAAAAAGAAACACACACACAAAAATGTAAGAAAAAAACATTTTGCCTGTCCATTTCCATTATATGATGATTATAATAATAATTGAATTATGTGTCGACATAGGGCTTGCCATCATCATTTCAAACAAAATCAAGGATCAGAAATAAAATCACGATGATGATGAACAATCAATAAATCGGGTTGTAACCTTTTTGGTAATATGGTGGTTGTTGTTGATTTTTTCAACAACGAACAAAAAAAAAAATCCAATTTCATTTCATTTCATTTTGTTCAACAACCTGTCTAGTCTGTCTAGTCAACGAATGATTTTTCAACGAAATATGAAAATCAAAAAAACCAAAACAAATTGAAGGTGCCAGATTTGCAGCAAATATTCCATTGATCATCAATCAATCAATCAATCACGCACATACACACACACACAACGTTAATATTTTTGTAGGCATTAATTGACTAATTTCATTAATATTTAATAATCGATCAATCGTTGATCAATGTGCACACCTTTTACCTTTATTAATGGCTACCTTTTTAAATATTTTCCTGTTTTTTTTTCTTTTTGGTTAATATTTACACAATAATTATATCTGGCTCCAAGGTTCGTTTCCAGTTCAACAAAAAATGATGACGATGTTCATATCAATCGATTCAATTATTTTTCCACTATTTAAACATAAATAGTGGGTAGCCGAATCAATCTGCAAAACAACGATAATGAAGAAGAAAATCAATTTCACTTCAGCAACAAAAAAAAAATGTCGGCAAATTTTTATTCAGCAAGTTAACAGATTCGAATCATTTTTTTCATATATCCAGTGAAAAAAAAACATTGAAAATAATGATTTGTGCTTGCGGCATCATCATCAATATATATTGATATCGATGGATGGTTGAATGGATGGATGGTAATAATTAAGATCGAATAGTCGGAAAAAAAGATGCCGAATCTGATTATTATGATTATGGCGATGATGATGCTGAAGAGATGGCCAAGCCAACAACAACATCGAAGAAAAAATATGTAATAACCATCATCATCAATTGAATCCAAAATTCAATTCAAATCGAAATCATTCATAATGCCGACAAAGAGTTTCTTCTTTTGATATTCCCTGACCTTTTTTTTATACTCGAATCATTCCTACCTTCTTTTTATTTTGTTCTTATCATCATCATCATCATCATTGAAAAAATATTCAATGATGGAGACAAAGTCTTGTTCAAATTGTAATAATCAAAAATTATACAAGATACAGGTGTTGAACACATGTTCAATGAATGAAGAAAAAACAACAGTATTTTGATCATTATCATTGATAAAAAATTCAATTTTAATCGATATTTTGGGAAAAATCAATTTTCCACATGTAAATCTAGTAGCAAAATTTTTTTGATTACTGAATCGATCTATATTGACAATTTTTGGGTTGCAAATAAAAAAAAGATAATCCAATTTGAACACAGTTGACTTACTTACCAACCAACCACCATACAAATCAACTGAACTAAATTTCTTTTTCTGGTTAAATTGTTTTATCTGTTACAAAGAAATGAAAAAAAATATCTAAATTGAATTTTTTTTTTCTTTTTCGAAAATCACTGTAATCGATCGACAATCTCTCTATTGATCACACTGGGTTATCAAGATTTATTTTCTTTTTTCCTTTTTCCTCCAAAAAATAAAATCTTTTGTTATCGTCATTATTATTATTATTATATAGTCAAATTATAATCGGATTATCCTATATATACCCACAAGGGTCCATTGCTTTGGTTTTTTTTCCTGTGGAACAAAAATTTTGTCGGAAAATTTTTCCTATTCATTTACTCTATCTTTTTTTTTGATTGTTCCTGGTAAACATTCTCCAGTTTTTTCTTTCTTGAATAACACAATAACCACATAGACCAAATGTTTGTCTCTCATTGATGGTGTTTTATTAAGCAAAACTAAACTTAGAAAAAAACCAAGAAAAAATGATTATATATGAAACATATGTTTTACCTGTGTTTTGTTATTGTCTTTTTTTTTAAATAGAAAAAATAACCATATGAAACATATAGACACACAGGTAACTTGTTTGTTTGTTTGTTTGTTACCAAATGTTGTGTTTGAATGAATCGTTTGTGTTTTGTTCAGGTTTCTTTTTTTCTTTCCTTACCTTCAATAAGTTGACAATTGGTTTTTTTCTTTTTAAATTTATGCGCGCGAAAATGGTTTTGAAAATAAAATAAGAAAACCAAGGCTATTATTACATGTGTTCGATTGTCGTTCAACTATTTCTACCGTAAAAGTTGGAATTCCTAAAATCCACAAAATATTGGCCCACATTTTTTTTTGTCAACAATTTAATTTGATTTAGTCGATAGAAAAACTAAATAAAATTCAATTTAAAAGATGATGTAATTCAATAATGAAAAAAAAACAATATTCGATTTGATGATTGAAATTGAATTAAAATATTTACAATTCAATAATAATCATGAATCAATCTCATGCTGTTCAATTGTTATTCGATTTGTAATAAAAGAAAAATAAAATTTAAAATTTTTTAAAAATTATATAATGATAAATCAAATTCAAAGAAAAAATGTTTTCATGCTGCGTGAAAACCAAATGTTTTGAAGAAACAGTTTGGTTTTGGTCATCATCTTCGCTTGTTGTTATCAAATAATGATGTGGTGTTGTGGTTGTCTTTTTAAAATATTAATCTAATTGAAACGATGATGATGATGATTTTGTCACTTGAACAAAATTTCGGTTACAATCACCTTTCGAAATGATGATTATCAGTTAGATGATAATCTTTGATTTTATTTACCATAACACCACAGAAACCGTTGTTTCAAACATAAAAACACAGCGGTAACAGTAGCAGCGAACATATTGTAATCAAATCATCGTCCTTGGTCGATTTTTATCTTTAACTTTTCAACTTTGACCAATGGTTATGTTGACATTTTTGTTTCAAAACACAATCATCATTGAGAATTGATAAATATAACTATTTTGACCCCATCATCAAACAAACAACACTCCCTAACTGTAAATATTCGATGACCACATGTGTGCGAGAGAGAGAGAGAAGCCTTTTTCATCAAACACATGTGTATGTTTGCTCATCGGATTATCATTTGGTCATTTTGGGTCATTTTTTCCCAAAAAAATAAGCCTTTCGTTTGAAAAAAAATATTTTCCTAAAAAAAAATGAAAATATTTTGCCAACAACAACAACAACCACACAACAAACAAATAGAAATAGGATTTGTTTCGGGACACGAAAAGATATTTTTTTTTCAATTAGCCATTTAAAAAAAAAATCCACAAAATGGTTTAAGTTTTGGTTCAAAATTGTCGCCATTCGTTACAAGTGTAACAACAACAACAACAACGACGACAAGACATTATCAATAATGTTTCAAATATGGTGGTCAATGGTCAATCATTATATTGATTATCAATGGTTGTTATTTTTTTTCTTTTCCAAAAGTTCAATTTGACCTGCTGCTCAATGAATCTTTTTTTTTTGTTGTCTGTGATTCTGTATGTTTGTCTTGTCCATTTTCAGTGATGACGATTGGCCGATCATCAATGGTCAGCGTGTGTGTGTTTTATTTTTTTTCTTAGACACTCCGAAAGAGACAGTCGAAATTGATTGTCAAACAAATCGCGATGGGTTTACCGCAGCAGCAGCTTCAGCCACACATTTACACAAACAAATGGCAAATTATTACCATTTTCAATGTTTGACATTCATTTCTTCTTTTTTTTCTTGCCCTTGTTAGACATTTTCCATCTTTTCCAAAAGATTTTTTTTTCTCTTTCATTTAGATTTCAAGATGAAAATCTAGTGATAAGAAAAACAATAGAATTTCTTGATTTTTTTTTGTTGTTTTGTTCACTTATTTTTCTGTTATCGTTATTGTTTATTGTTGAAAACAACAACGAAATAAAATCTCACCTGAAAAAAAGATTTTTTAAAATTCATTGTAACCAAGTCTGTAATGGATTTGAATTTTTCATTTTTTTGGCGGCGGCGACAATCATTCATTCATTTATTTATTCATTGTGGATTTTGCCTCTCAATTCATTATATAAATCGAGAAAAAGGGTTTCTTTTTTGTTTGTTTGTGAATGGATTTTGTTGGTATTTTTGCCTACAAATGAAAAAAAAATTTGAATTTCAAAAACTGTTATCCAGGAGAAAGAAAATTACCTTATGGTTGTTGTAATATGAGAAGTTTTGGCTGGAACAATAGTTTTGAAACTAAGATTGGATTGGTAATATTTTACCTGATGACTTTTTGTTGGCAAAAAAACAGACACCCCCAACTAGCGCGTGATGAAACATCATGGTTAAAAAACAAAATTTGATCACTGATGATGATCATTACTTTTATATTTATAACTGATGATGATGATGATCAATTCATTTGCTACTTGATTATCATCATATGATAATGGTGGTTAACTGATGGTGGTCGCAATCGTCATCATCGATATATATACGATATCTAATTTCAATAATATTTCGGTTTCCAATTTCTTTGGAAACAAATTATTCAATGAAAGAAAAAAAAGAAGTTATATGTGGATCAAATTTTTTTCTTCTGAATATCGTATTAAAGAAGACCTTACAGTATTGTAAGAAGAGTAGGAAGAGAGGAAAAAATAATACCGCCATTTAATCGTTCAATATCGACCATAACAACAACAACAAGGGAAAAAGATATTAATCCATTGATCGATCGGGATTTTTTTTTCTATTGTTAAAATAAGGTTTAATCCGATTTCAAGTATACACAAGTTGTTGTTGTTATACACTTGTTGCTCAATTTTTTTTTCGACCCTATTTCTACATAATCATTATCATTTACAACAAAATAGCCTGGATTGTTTTCGTTTGTTTATTTTCCGGCATGATAATGATGATTATTTATCAAAATTAAATCCTTTGATTTCAGAAAAATTTTAAAATTATCATAAATTATTTATAGATTGTGTTGTGTTCAATATGTTAATTGTTTGAAACCAAAAAACAAAAACATTCTGTTCATATCAGATTCCAATGTAATTATAATATGAATTTTGCAAAAGAAAAACTGTAAGAAATTTGTTTTATCTTTTAATTTTAGTCTGGATCATATGTGTCACAGATGTCGAAATGGTCAATGTTTCATACCGAAATCATCATATATAAATAAACACACATGGAAACCATCTTTCTATATATTTTTCGTTTATTTTTGAGATCATCATCTTGTTGTTTTTTGTTTGGCGACAAACATATTGACCATTATCACTTGTTATCACAAAAAAAAAACAGAAACAACATGGATATTTGATTCCTCGAACAAACAAACGCATATGATCGACATATGCTAATGTTAAATTCTTATTTGAAACAACATTTTGAACATTATTGGTTTGGCTATTGACTAAAATGATTGATTCATAATGGAAAGATCAACCATATCAAGATTTTTGATTTGAAATGCATTACAAACACTAATTGATTGATTGATCGATCTATTGATTTTCAATTAGACTCTCTATATATGATTCCATATGAAAATCTCTTTTTTGTTTATCTCTCTTTTTTTTCATTTTTATCATCCTTATTGACTTTCCAATGTTGAATGATATTTTTTCAAAGTTTCAAACCGTCAATGATGATGATGATGTCTACAGGTATGATGATCATCATGATAAAAAAAAAGAAAAAGCTGGTAGCTTGAAAATGCTTTTAACACCGATTCGACATACGGTGTTCAATGATCAATGTTTTTTTGCGTCCATTTTATTTTGCGATTAGATAACAACTAAGTAAAACTTTTTAAAAAACGGGAGAAAGTTTGAAACCATTGAATCGAATTGAATATCATTGATGAATACTAAAATTTGATAAATTTTCTAATCAATTAAAGAAAAAAACACAGAAAAAAAATCATCTACCATATCTATCCGAAATGAATCCAGAATCTTAATGAAATATGATTTGACCTTTATTTTTTGGTCATGAAAGTCATCGCCATTATCATTCAATAACAGAAGTTTAGAGAATCCATTAACCTTGATAATCATGATAAACATTACTAAAAAATTTTGTAATTTTTTTTCTCTCTTTCCCTTTACCATCATCATATATAGACATGGTCAGATGGTTGATATAAAAGTTTAAAAGTATTTTCTTTTCTCTTCCATATTGTGATCATCATTTCAAATCAAAAGAAAAGCAAAAAAATGCCACCGATTTCCATAAACCAGTTCACATAACAATTTTTGGACATATAATAAAAAAAGAAAGAAAAAAAAATCTTAATCCGTTTATTGTTCCAGTTTGGTTCGATTTTTTCCCGCATTCATTCTTTCGATTGGTCAATGGTCCATGGTCCATGGTCCATGGATCTTGGATTGAATTGTTCTTTTATATGTCAAAAAACTATTCATTTATTCAGGTTTTTTTTTCTTTTGGCTGAAATTTTTTCCATTTTTTTTCTTCATTTATTAGTCTGTTATTACAGTACAGTGCCACCTATGTTCAACATTATTAGTTTGAGAATGAATAAGGGAAAAACATTGATAATAATCGATTATCGTTTGTATAGGGAAAATGTATGGAAATTTTTTTCCCGCACACACAATATATTTTGAAATTTGTTTTTGAAATCATCAAAATAGAGGGATTAATGTCAAGATTTCATTATTATACGTTGCATATTTGATGACCATTGTCCATCGATAAACATATGGCCAAATTTTTAATACACCATGTTGGGATTTTTTGTTGTTGTTGAAAATCTTTATTCATATTTCTTTCCTGATAATAATAACAACAACAACAACAATTTTTTGACCATAAAAAAAACAAGACAATTTAATTGAGATTAGTTGCCATTTTTTTTTGTTATTCGGTAATATTTGTTTAAAATCTGATGATAATCCTTCGTGTGTGTGTATAAGCCATTTATTCATCAAGATTATTGATGATGATTCAAGCGATTTAATAATTGAATAGATCATACATAAGTATTAAACATTGTATATAAAACATTAAAAACTATTTGTTTCAATGAGATTTATATGAAAAGAAAAAAATCGATTAGAATTATGAATGATTATCATATGGAATTTTACATACCTGTATGAAGAAAAACATACTAATCAATGTAGCACGAGCCAATATAAAACCATAACGATTTTCTGTATGAATTTTTTCAATATATAAACTAGTACGTATACGTAATGATAATGGCTGTAATGGAAAATGTATCCTACAATAAATTAATTTTGTTGAACATTTATGTATTTTAATTGTATACATTGAACATAGTAAATGAAGAACAAAAAAACCAATAAATTGTGTAAAAATAAAACAAGTAGCAAAAAATTTCCATTGATTATATTTATTATTTTTATCATCATTTATAATAAATGTTGTTACAATAATAAACATGTTCATTGGAAAATTTGCAATCATATATGCTGAAAATAAATCCGATTGATGTTGACAAAGACGATTAAATAGATCTAATGTATGTCCATGTAGCCAAAGAAAACGATTAACAATACGGCTATAATAATAACGTGTATGTTTTTCACCGGCAATATTATTTATATCCAAAATTGAATTGATTTGATCCAATTTTATCCATAATGTCCATGTTGTAAATAAAAATATAAACATAACCATCATATAACAATGTGCTACTAAATATTGAGCCAAATCAAATATTAAACAATTTAATGATGAACAAAGAATAAAACCTGAAATTTTTAAATATCGAATCAAAAATTCAAATAAATTATCATCGCCATTATAATTCATTTGTAATGAAGCGATAAACGATAGAATTTCTTTAACGCAAATATCTATTGTAAACAATGCAAACAAAAATAAAAGCACAATAAACAATTGATTCTGTATGATTGATTCAAGCAATCTTTTTCGTATAAAATGACAAACATCTTGTTTTTTATGTTGTTGTTGAAGAAAATAACGACTACCATTACCATTTGAATTGAACAATATCATATTCATTAAACGTATAATATTTTCAGGTATTTCAATATAAAGTTTATAGCTAAGAAACATTCCCAATGCTGTTAAAAACATTCCAATCGAATTGATTGAACTATGTAAGCCAAGAAGAAAGAATATATCGTATACTAAAGTTCTTTGAACTTGATTTAATGGCAATAAAAATAAAAAGAAATAACGTATTAATTGATACATTTGTAGCCAAATTGATCTTTTAAAAAGACGGTTAGCTTCAGATTCTGGATTATTGGCTATTTCGTTTTGATAATGAAGATATGATTGCATATAATTAACATTTTTATAAGGAATCATTTCCTTCACAATCCAACGTATGAACAACATTTTTTTTTTGTTGAACAAATCTATGATCTTCAATCAACAACAAATGAAAAATGACTTCAAAATTCTTTTTACCATATTCTTTATAAATTGTGAAACGAATGGGAAAAAAACCCGGGATTTTCAACCAAAAATAAATGAGAATTTTTTTTCTCCAACGACTAATGAACCTTTTTTTTTATTTGAATAAATATTTTATTGCAAAAAAATAAATAAAAAATGAAATTGTTATTGATCATTTATTAGAAATTTTTCTTTCTTTTTCAACCTTTACACAGATCGATATTATTATTATTATTATGATGATCGTTGTCGTTGTCAACGATCCGATGGTTTGTTTGTAATTTTTTCTTTTTTTTTTTTGATTGTTCAATTTGATAAATGTTTTATGTGCATAATCGAAATTTGCGAATTCGATAGTTTTGGTGACCTTCAAATTCGGGATCTTCATTTCAATTTGATGAATACTTCTCTCCAAAGTTTTTGATTTTTTGTTGTTGTTGCTTTAGTCATTAAATAGATCATACATAAGTAATAAACTTTGTATATAAAAGAATAGAAACTATATAGTGGAAAAAATGGAAGAAAATAAATCAATATGGAATCAATAATCAAATGAAATTAATATTATATCAATTAAAACATACCTTAATGAAAAAAATCATACTAATAACTTTAGTACGTGCTAATACAATACCATATTGATTTTTGGTATGAATTTTTTCAATATATAAACTAGTACGTATACGTAATGATAATGGTTGTAATGGAAAATGTATATTACAATAGATTAATTTTGGTGAACATTTATGTATTTTAATTGTATACAATGAACAGATTAAATGAATGATAAAAAATCCAATAAATTGTGTAAAAATAACACCAAAAGCAAAAAATTTCCATGAAGAAAATTCATTTGCTTTATTTTCAATAATAAATGTTGTTACAATGAATAACATATTCATTGGAAAATTTGCAATCATATATGATGAAAATAAATCCGATAAATAATTACAAAAATGATTAACATGTATAAATGTATGTCCATGTAACCAAATAAAACGATTAACAATACGGCTATAATAACGTGGATGATTTTCATTGATAGTTTTATTTGTATTCAAAATTGAATTAATTTGATCTAATTTAAGAAATAATGTCCATGTTATAAATGTAAATATATAAATAAACATCATATAACAATGAGCTAATAAATATTGAGCCAAATCAAATGTTAAACAATTAAATGATGAACAAAGAAAAAAACATAAAATTTTTATAAATTGAATCCAAAATTCAAATGAATTATAATCATTATTATAATTTATTTTTGATGAAGTAGCAATAAATGTTAGAATTTCTTTGTAACAAACATTTATCGTAAACAATATAAACATAAATAATAATATCAAAAATATTTGATTCTGTATGATTGATTCAAGTAATTTTTTTCGTATAAAATGACAAATATTTTGTTGTTTATGTTTTTGTTGAAGAAAATAACGATTACCACTACCATCCGTACTGAATAATATTATATTCATTAAACGTATAATATTTTGAGGCATATCAATATAAAGTTTATAGATAAGAAACATTCCTAATGCTGTTAAAAAAATACCAATCAAATTCATTGAATAATGAATGTCAAGTATGAAGAATATATCGTATGTTAAAATTCTTTGATCATCACTTAATGGCAGTATAAATAATAATAAATAACGTATCAATATAAAAAATTGAAACCAGATAAATTTCCATATTAAACGTCCAATATTAGAATTTTGATCTTTCGATATTTCAATTTGTTGTTGTAAATATTCTTGAATATAATCAAGATTTTTATAAGGAATTATTTCCTTTACAATCCAACGTATGAATAACATTTTGCGAAATAATTCAACAATCATTTTTTTCATCATGAACATTATCATCCACAACCAAAGACAAAATGATTTCATATTTTTCTTTTTTTTTTGGCTATTGTCTTATTCTTTATTTATGGAATTTTTGAAATGTACCAATCAAAAGAAAAAAACTTTAGACATTTCAAATTCTTTTTTTTCAGAAAAAAATGGAATCAATGTACAGAAAAAAAAAAATTGTGAATTATTTTTTTCAACTCCAAACAGAAGGAAAATAATTTTCAAAAGTTTTCTTTACACCTTATAAGAACATATGACTTGAATTTCTATTATGAAAGAATTTCTTTATTGATTAAACTAGAAAATAATTTGAAAAGAAAATGAAAGAAAAATAAGAATCTATATTTTGTTACAAATCGATACAAGTTAAGGTCGCCGTCATCGTCGTCAACAACGATTTGGTCGAAATTGATCCAGGAAAAAAAAAGAAAATTCTTTTTTTTCTATGTAATCTTTAAATTTTGTTTTCGTTTCAAAATTTGCCATAATTAAGCAATGAATATGTCATTAATAAACCTTGTATATAGAATAAAAGAAACTATATTTGGCATTGAATTGATGGAAAAACAAAATAATTAAATTAATTAAATTAAAAACAATTAATTAAATTTACCTGAATAAAGAAACGAATACTAATAACATGTGTACCACCTAATGTTAATCCAATACGTTTATTATTATGCATACGTTCAATATAATAACATAAACGTAATCGTAATCTTGTTGATGCAAATTTACTATGTACAAACCAATATATTAATGGTAATGAACATTTATGTATTCGTACAGTAAAAATTGAACAAATTAGATGAACAAAAAAAAATCCAATAAAGTGTTGAATAATAACAAGTGTACAGAAAAAATATAAACCTTTTGCTACAATTTCTTCACTTTTACGTAGAAAAAATGTTGTTATAATTAATAATAAATTCATTGGTAAATTTGCAATTATATAACTAGTAAATAGATCGGATTGAAAATTACTAATATGATTAATATGATCTAATGTTTTACCATGTAAATAAAGAAAACGTGATAATGTTCGTCGATTATTTAGAATATTTTGATGTTTTAAAGCTAAAAATTTATCCTTATCTAAAATCATATTAACTTGATCTAATTTTAGGAAAAATGTAGTGGCCATAAATATAAACAAATAAATCAGAAGCATATAACAATGTGCCATCATAAAATTTGCACAACCAAATACGATTATATTGGTAAATAATATGATTATTTTTAGGGCAGCCTGTAAATATTTAGCCATGGTTAACATTACTGATGTTGTTGATGATGATATTGAATTATGATCGATAATTAGAAAATAATCATGTTCGAATGAAGTAACAAATTGAATACCCATATAAAGTGAATATAGTACAAATAGATCTGTAATGGGGGTTATTTTTTTTTTTGGTTCGGAATTATTATTTAAAAAAGAAATATTTTAAAACAATTTGAAATCACCAACCTAAAAAAAAGACAAACAATTGATTTTGTATTATTGATTCCAATAATTTACCACGAATATAATCACAAACATTTTTGTTTTGTTTATGATTTTTATTTATAAAGAAACGATAATCACGTTTGAATACAATACGATCAATTAATAATGAAAATCTTGGTGGTAATTGATAATAAAGTTTTATAAGAAGATAAATACCCAATATTGTTAAGAAAATTGCCAATAAATTCATTGTACTACTCATATTATAAAAATGAAATATATCAAACATAATGATACGATATTCTTCGGATAATGGCCATACATAAAGAAATCCATAACGTATTAATTGTAGAATTTGAAACCAGATTAATTTATTGATCAATAAAGATGCTTCACATGATTGATTAATTTTTCTACATTGATAAATTTGTCTTGTTTGTCGTAGATAATTGCCGAAATGATCTAGATTTTTATACGGTATCGATTCCAATGCAAACCAACGTATTAGCGACATTTTTGTTCTCACTGAATTTGAACAAATGTTTTTCGATTCTTAATTTAAAACTTTTTTAAATAATTTTCACCCTTTTTATATATGATGACTTTTCGAAATTCACTATCCATTTTTTGTTTGTTTTTCTATGGAATTTTAATTTTTTTTGTCAAAAAATTAAAAATTTTTTTTTTCTTAAAATTTATTATGACATTCTCCATTTGTTTGCCTATCATTTTTCAATCATTCAACCTTGTTTTGGAAATGTTCGTGTGGGCCCCTGGACCACCTCAACAACAACAGGAAAAAATAGCATTCGATTACCTGCCTGCCGAGCTAAAAAATGATCGATTTACATGAAAAAATTTAGTTTTTTTTTCAAAAAAAGTTTTGATGAAACAAATGAATGAATGAATTTTTCTAGGTAAACAGATTCTATTTACACGATGATGATGATGGTAGAAAATTAATTTCAAACAACGAAAATTCATATCATATCAATTACAATGATTATCGTCATAGACGATAATTTTTCATTTTTTTTCATTTTGTTGATCCAACAAAATGAAAAGTTTAATTGAAAAATAATTGCCATTGTTTTTTTCCCCTGTACACCAAAGTCTTCCATTGTTTTTTTTTCTGTTTTTCGTAACTAAAATTATTCATTCCATATGGGTATTTAAAAAAAGGAATCTAATTGAAAATTAAAAAACGATTGATTTTTTTAGCTACTTTCAAGAATCTGCTGGTTGGTTTGAATCGAATTTTTTGTTTCAATCATTTGCGAAAAGATAATTTTCCATAAGATAATAATCAGACCATAGAAAAATTCAAATGAAAGAGAAAAACCTGATAATCGATTCGAAAAACGTCAAATGACGATGATGATGGTGGCCAATGACGATGATGATAATGATCCTATCAATCATCATTTGCATGATTATCATTTTTTTTTATCTTTGGACAAGTTATGAATATTTAATGAGAATCAATCGTGGATCGATAGTCAATGTTATTTTTTTGATGGAGTATGTAAATGATTTTTTTTCTTGGGTGATCCATTACCTGGAAAATGAAACTTTTATTTTTGGTCTAGATTGGCACGAAATTGTTTTTTTTTGTTGTGAAAAAATGAATCGATTTTTCCAAGAAAGAAAAAATACGCTGCACGTGGCCAACATAAGCAAAATTGTTGTAGATAATTTGTTGTTGTTGTTGTTGAATCAAATAACAACAACAACAACAAATCTGATTGCTATTTAATTTTGTTGTTGTTGTTAATATCACGAACACGTGAAAAATAGATCCATTCCATATCAGGTAATCCGCCTAAAACAATTGATTGGTTTGTTTGTTTTGTTATTGATCAAACAAACGCATTATTCGTGACTTGAAGTCTTGAAGATGTTTTTGGTTGTGGATCATGATTTTTTTGGTCAAATTCAGCATCAGTTTCTCTGTGATTTGGCTGAATTTGACATTCTTCTAAACGAAGGTCATTTATCCTAACTTAACTTGGGCTGATGATTGGTGATATGTGGATTTTAATGATGAAAAAATAAAAAAAACAAAATTAATTTAAAAAACTTGAAAATTTCCCTTGAATAGCCAAAAAATAAGCAAAAATCAAAATTCATTGATCAAATCCTGATTTCCATGTGCGTAATTTTTTAATGAATTTAATCCAGTTGAGTAATCAGCATGAAATCTTTCTGCCAAACTAATTTATTATTACGTAAATTTCATAGGTGAAATTTTAAAAAAGAAAAAATTTCCTATTCAAATGTGACAGATTCTATGGAAATTTCGAAAAAAACCATGCATGGATTTAACAAGAAACTAAAAAATTGCTCAATTTACACCAAACTTGACAAAAAGAGAAATGATGATCATCATCATCATCATAAGAATAATATCAAGTTGGTCATCGGTTTTTTTTCTTTTATCATTATTTATCGGTTGAAATAAGTTGCTGACCAATGCCAACAACAACAACAATTCAATGTTCATAAAGAATTTTTCGACCAATAATGATGATCACCAGGTTTTCGACATTACTATTTTTCCGAAAAAAATCAAATTAAACTTTTTTAAAAAAAACCTATGGGCCAAACAATCAATTTAATGGTTGAAACAATTATTTTAAATTTTCAATGTTTTTTTGCAAGAGAAAAAGAAAATCGATAAACATTTATCATGATAATGATGATGATTATGATGATCATGATCATGATCATCATCATAATGGTTTGACCATTTACCATCAACGATCATCAAAAAAAAAAAAAAATTGAACCAAAACATTTCATTCGTACATTATTCTTGTTGTTGTTCACTAGTTAGGAATCACAACAACAACAACCAGGGTCTTGGGTCACAAATACACAGAGACAATAAACAAATCAACAAAAACGGGTGCTATTTTTATCTCCAAAAGAAAAAGATAGATAGATAGATTGATGGCTGGTTGGTCATATATTTAAGCTTAATGGGGAGCAATAAATCTTGTTGTTGTTGTTGTTGTTGCTCTTTCGTCTTTTTTGGAAATAAAATGCCATTAACTTTTAATGGCAACCAACAAAAAAAAAAACAAGATGATCATCACTGATTTTTTGTTGTCCAATTGGATAATTGCTTGACTTTTTTTGGAATCAAAAGACCTAATTTTTTAGTTTTCTTAGATTAGTCGGGACAAATTTTTAGTGTTATTTTGATTGCTTGCTTTACTGCCTGTAAGTCTGTCTGCTTATTTGCGCTAATATGATCCAAAATTTAAACAGAAATAATAAAAAAAATCACATTCATTGCGTAGAACAAGAAGAAAATGAATGAATGAATGAATGAATGAATAATCATCATTTAAAAGTACCGTATAATTTTCGGTAATAAAAACGAAAAATTGTCCCAATAATTGACAGCAATCAATCACAGTGTGTGATAGGTAGATATTTGGTCCTTTGTTGTTTGTCAATTTATTTATTTGTTGATGTTGATGTTGTCCAAAAGCAGCTTCAAGAAAGTAATAATTCCAATGGATGATTCCAGAAGCCCAATATAATCTACTTTTGCTTCAGCAGCAGTCAAAGTAATAATAATAATAAATAGCAGATAGAGAAAAATAATTTCACCAAAACTAAGAATTGTTATCTTTTTCAGTGATTATGATGATGATGATGATGATGTTAATCATCTTGAAGAAAATTTTTTCTGGCAATGTTAAGTGTGTCCAGTCCGACACCCAAAAGTATAACACAAAACAAAAGATTCAGAGAAAAACAAAACAAGCCTATTTTCTCCGAAGAAAACAAGAGCTGATTACAATAATCATCAATGATGATGATGATGGCCATTATCATCAACGATGGCCAGACCCAAAAAAACAAAACAAGATTTCAATATCCGAAAAAAAACCATTGTTTTCTTCGAAATTTATTTCATTTTATTTTTGTTCGGGACCAATTCACCCATCAAACAACAACAACAACAACATCGACAACAAATCACTTTATCTTATCTTTTTTTTCGAAAAAAATGATAAGAAAAATATCAAGAAATGCGTAGGTTTCAATTAAATCGTTATCTTATACTAGTCATTGGCTAATTACTTTTGACAAGGATAACTTTTTTTTAAACAAAGAATTTTTGTTTTTACCTTTTTCTCTCTCTTCGGATTGGAATTTCCATTATTCTTGAATTTTCATTTTTGGCGCTTTTCACCTTACATCATATCAATGGCTACTGACTTTTTCTATTTTCACTAAATTGGTCATTGTTAATATAATGATGATGATGATGGAAAGAAAAACAATTCAAGGCGTTGTTTTTTTTACATTATTCAGGATTGTGGATCAAAACTTTTTTTCGATCAAATCATTGAACAATCATAAGGATGTAAATCTTCTTTGAAGCAAAATTCTAATTACATTGAAATTGGCTTGGCGAAGAAAACGAAATTTAAAATTCAAAAACAATTTTCCATTTGAAATCCATCATCATCACTGATGGATTATCATTATTAAGCAGATCAGAAGCGCCAAATATTAACTTTCTCTATGTAACACAGACACACACACACCTTCGAATCATTATGGAGACAAATTTACAAATTTAAATTTCCTGTTCTTTCTTTTTTTTTTGTTGATGAAGAGGGGGTGAGGGTTGTAAACAAAAAAAAAACAATAATTATAAATCAACCTCCGCATCAAAAACATCTATCATCATCATAATCGTTGTTGTTGTTGTTGTTGTTGTTGTGGGTTGTTGTTGATCATCGATCTTTGTTGTTATTGTTGTTGTTGTTGATCATTTTATAGACCAAAACTAAATGAAAACTAAAAAAAAAAATTGAAAAAAAACCAAGACCACCATCGTTGTTTATCATCATCATCGTTGATGTTGATGATAATAATGTTTACCATCAAACAATTGTTAATCAACTGTATGTTTTGTCTAACGATAATTCATCAAAGATTCATCATCAGTGGTCATCATCATAGCCATCGATCAAGACAATTTTTTATCCAGACAGTTTTGATCCATACAAACACAAAAAAACAATCTTGAATGGGAAAAATATTTTTGTTGTTGTTTATGCAGGTTCAATTTTTTTCCATTTGGTCTACCTATTTTTTTGGTTATTTTCCTTATTTTCCTGGGTTCATCATCAAGATTTCTTTCGTTTGTTTTGAACTATATTGGGGAGAAAAAACGTGAAATTTTTTAAATTTTATCCATCTTTCAATGATTTTTTTTTGTTACTCGTGAACAATTCGGTGTGTGTGTGTGTGGTTACACGCGTTTTTTTTCTCTCGTTGTTTTTTTTTCAAAAAAGGTCATCGGTTAGCCCATCATTTGAGTTTTGTGAACTACATACACACACTTGCTCGTTTTCTCCGATTGACCGTATACGAGAGTAATTTCTTTTCTTTTTTTCTGGAAACTGAGGAAAAAAGCATGGAACCAACCATATGCCAGATGCCAGGTCTGTGTGTGTATGTTTGATTGGCCTCAATCTTTTTTCTTCATTTTTTTTTCTACAAATGTCTTTACGGCCGGTGGTCCACCACCATACATACACACAGGTAACATGGTCAAATCTTTCTTTTTTCTCTCTTTCAAATGTTTCTTTCGCTATCGATTGATCGAAAGAAACGAAACAGACTTGAGCGTGAGAATGGAATTTCGGTTATTTTAGTGATGATGAACAGATGATGATGACTTGAATATTACTTTCAATTCATTATTCATTCCAATCAATGATTTTAACACATGTTCCATGTTGCAACAACAACAACAACAACAACAAAACAGAATGATGATGTATGGTCGGCCAGATGATGATGATGATGATAATCTGATCTGATAATATTCATAAATTGGCGTTCTAGTTGCTTATTTTTGATCATAGATGGCAGGGTTTAATTTTTCAAATCATAATCTTTTTCCCGCCTTTAATTTTTAGAATAATAGTATTTCATTTGATGACAAATAATCATCCATTGAATTGATCATTTTTTTCTACGACCACACTATTGGTATGGTGTCAAACTATCACTAATCTGGCTATTATATTGGTTGTTGCATTATGGTCACTTAATCCATGGTGGTTCAATCAAACAAACAAACAAACAAACCGAAATTTCGGTGAAAAAATATTCAGTTTTTAAGAGCTTTTTTTGTTTTGTTCCACTCTTCAAACAAGAGAAAGATTATAACAAACAATTCATTCAGTTAGCCAACCACCTACCTACATTGTCGCCAGATTAGTTGAATGATAATCGGGGAAAAAAATTGGTGACAATAACGTTAGTGAAAAAAATGAACAGTACAAAAAACGTGATCAAAATGATTCAACTATGATTCGATTCGGTATTTTTTTCCATTAATAAACCTTCTTTTCGGGATAATAATTGGAAAAAATAGCTCAATCACTCCATTTCAAATCACCTGATAATCAATGTAGAACATCGAAACAATTTTAACCAAAAAAAAAAAAAAAAATTCATTCGATTTATCTATGTGATTGTGATTCAATTGTGATAAATGTGATTCAATCCAAAAAAAATAATGATCAACGATTTTTTCAACTATTGGAATCAATTCTGTTCCGTTCAACGACTTATTTTTATTGATTATCCAAATTATTTACATAATGAAATTGATACAACTGTTTTTAAACTATTTAAACGATGTTTATGGAAATTATTTTTGGATAATAATTATTTCATTAAATCAATATTCATTTTATTAATAACATTATCAATATTATCATTTATACGAAGTAAAATAATATTAAAATTAGTATCAAGATTTATACGTATTGGTTTGATTGCTGAAAAAGATGGTAGAAAATTTTATGAATGTTTTTGGTGTTTTCTATGTCATCTGTTAACATTTATAATAACATGGATTATTATTGTAAAAGAAAATTGTTTAATTAATACAAAACAATTTTGGCTGGATTTTGATCGTCAATCAATACCATTTTTATTTGGTTTTATTTATGCATTTAAAACAAGTTTTTATATTGATTCAACATATGCTATGATGTTTGTTTATGCAAGTGAAAATATTACACCAATCTATTTCATTCATCATATGACAACAATTTTATTATTAATATTAGGCTATATGACCAAAAATTATCTAAATGGTATTGTTATGATATATCTTTTTGGACAGGATACATTATTAATGCAATTTAGTAAATGTTTAATTAAACTTCAATTACCAATCATTCAACAAAATCGTAATCAAATTCGTCGTATTCTTTTCTATATATTTGTTTTGCTTTGGTTATATAATCGCCTATATCGTTATCCATTGATTATAATACCTGATCTGGTATTATTTGCATCCGAAAATTTTCATCTTGATTGGAGTATACTTGGTTATATATTAATATTATTATTATTGATAATATTTATGGTTAGTTTATTATGGACAATATTTATTTTGAAAATTATAATTAGTACATTGTTTGATCAGAAAAATCTTTATCATTTAGATGTACAGGATATTGAACCACAATATATTGTTGAACAACAACAACAACAACAAAATAACAATAATAACAATAATTATAAACATGAATGAATGAACCAAAATCTAAAAAATCTTTAATAAAATATAAAATGTAATGAAATGTTTTGAATAAATAAAATAAACTTTTGTTTCTTATCCAAATAATCTTTGATTATTATGAAAATTCTCTCTTTCTTTAAAGGTTTGGTTTCCCATATCTGATGCTTTTGATTATTTCATTTTGTTTTGTTTGAACATTTCATCAAGGAGATGGATGATTAATTGTGCACACACACACAAACACACACACCATTCCCATGATTATAATCTTTGAACAAAAGAAATTGTTGATAATAATATCTTGTAACAAATTATCAGCTTTAAATTATTATTATTATCCTGGTCATATTGTACACATTATTATTATTATTATTGTGATTCAACACCAAAGCAAAACATTGTTTGATCAACCAGGTTTCCAATTACAATTTCCCCCCCCCAAAGGAAAATGGGATATCCATTAGGGATTGGTCATCGTTTACCATACTCAATAAACTGCTGATGCAGCTTATCACAAAACACAAGGTAATTTTCATCAAAGCTGATCAAGGTCCATCACAGGTTGTATCCGCTTTTTCTACCAAAAAATAACAATTGTGGTCTCATCATAATCATCATCATCATTTCGTGGATTATGGGCATGCATTTTTGCTTCTATTGATGTTGAAAACATTAGTGAATAAAAAAAACATTGCAAACATTATTGCTTGTTGATGATGATGGCAAGGTGTTAATGTGTGTGTGTGCGTGCATGCATCAGAATAATGATGATGACTTGTAATAATAAGTATTTTGTTTAACAAGGTGTTTTTTGTTTCTCGTTTATTTCATTTCGCTCTGAAATTTATTCAAGAAAACGAAACATAGATGCGTGGGCCAAGTTTCTGTTGTTTTGTTTGAATTTTCATCATCATTTAGTCGACCATCATCATCATCGCATAAATCATAAGCTTAACCTGATTTAAATTGCAATCTTTATCAAAGGAATTTCATTTTTCTTCTTTCTTGCTTTCCACTATGCATGTTAAGCACCTAAAAAAATTAAATGGAAAAAAAGAATTATCTTTCTAAATACTTTATCATCATCATCATCAGTGAATTATGGACAATTCATATACAGAATACAGGACCTTACCTGACACTTGATCATCATCATCATTTATTAATGAGTTTTAATTTTTTACCTGTAAAAACAAGAATGTGACTCTATAAACGAAAAAATATATTTCAAATCATCCCTGTTTTTTCTTTTTTTGGAACTATAAATTTTGATGAAAATGTTTTTTCGAAACAACAACAACAACAAAGTGATGACAACCTGTCATTACGTAATGATATTTACACATGGATGGAATGTTTGAAGAACGAGAGATAGGTAAAGAAAAGCCCAAGGGTTGTTTTTTTTTCTAAAAAATTATCATTATTGGAACCCTAGAATTATTATGTAACAAACAAGAAAAAAAAATTTGTTGTTGTTGTTGTTAGATTAGATAATCATCATTATTATGTCAACACTGATAATACTAATAATTATCGTTTAGAAACATTGATCTCTTAATTGCTAATTTCTGAAATACTTGAAATTTCACTTGAAAAAAAACAAAAAAAAAATCAAACGATGATCGAAGCAATCAACAACAGCGAATAAAGAAACAACAACAAAAAGTGAAAATCGATTCGGTAAGGTAGTTTTGTTTGGTGAGAGGTAAACAACTAACTTTAACCATAAAGTTGATACTTAACTTCCAAATAACGAAAACAACAACTTGTCTGTTGTTTATGGTTGTCAAATAATTTTTGTTTGGCTATTCTCGATAAATATCAGGCCTTAGTATTTTGTTTTTTTTGGGGCATCAATTTGTCTCAATTTGTGGGAAACCAAACCAAATCGATTTTCATCATCATCATCTTCATCAGTATTTTATTGACAATTTAGATAATCAAAATTTAAAAGTAAAATCATTGAAAATATGAAATTCTTTTAGATTTTTTTTCGCATTATTGTTTGGAACATATTGGTTACAACCAAAAAAAAAAAAGGTGAGCACCATTGATTCGATAATCGATTGTATCGTATTCACACATATGTCATGTCCATTCATTCATTCGATCGAATGTTTTTTTTTTTTGGTTGTTGTTGCAAAAATTTACTATCATTTTTGATGAACCATATCGAATTTGGATTCGTTTCGGATCATTTTTTGGTTGGATCGACAAAAAAAATCTGGAATGTCAAAGTTTGTATTATTTATTTAAATGAATATCATTTCTTTGATGGTACATTTACAATGTGTTTGGTGACACACACACACATGTGAATGGTCACCAACCATATGTTAACTTCGAAAAAAAAATTGGCGAAAAAAATGTTTTTCTTCATTTAACCCAAATTGGTCACGGCATCAAATCATTGTGGTGATAATCATCAAACAAACAAAAAATCGATGAATGTAAATGGTGAGGGGGAAACAAACAACCAAAGAAAAGCAAAAAAACATTGGTCATTTTGGGTCGGGTGTGTGGTGTGAACTCAATGTATGTATTCATGGTCACGATTGAATTCGTCTTTTTTTGTTGTTGAAAATTCATTTTAAACAAAACTAATTATCAAACATAACAAACAATGATTATCATCAAATTATCGACCAATTATCAAGTATGTTTATCATGTAATCATTCGAATAAACTAAACTAAACATGTATGTATGTATCCAAATAAAATCAAAAGCGGTGTTTCGACATCACGATCAAATTCGATCATCATTATCTCATTGAATTTGATTTTTTTTCGACAGTTTGACGCTTCCACCAAAAAACGTAAATATTTTTGTTTTTTGAAAAAAATTCGTGCTAAAATCTGAAAATTTTTTTGATTTGAATGATACCGACCAGGTGATAAGTAGGTGTCGATCACGAATCAACTTTAACCAAGAGTAGGCCAGTAGCGCATGAATCCGGTTAGTTTGTTTTTTTTTTGTTGGAAAGAAATTCTTCAGTGCCATATATTCCTTGTGAGCAGATGTTGTTTTAAGCTTTACAGGGTGGAGGTCAATTGTTATCCAACCTTAACAACAACAACCAGAATTCCCCCTCCCCCCAAAAAAATCAAATTATTTATCAATTAATCAAATTGATAAATCACTGTTCATTTATTTATAATTATTATTGAAAATCGATCGATCGATCGATCGATAATAAATTGTTTGAATCGAATGAATGTGACATTTATTTAACGAAAAATTATGATAATTTGAGAATAATAGAGAGAGGAAATTGAAAGCGAAAGAGAGAGAATTTATCATGCCCAACGACAACATATGGAAGTTTTTTTCTTCTTTCTTTCTTTCTGGTGATCAAATTGATTTAAATCATCCATTCACACACACACACACTAACCATTTGAAAACAAGTAGCGAAAAAATGGCTTGTCAACTGGGAAAAAGAAGAAGAAAAAGAAAAAAATCATCAAGAGTGTCAATTGTCATGATTGTTTGTGTGTGTGTCGAATAATTGAATTACAGTTTTGGTTTCGGGTTGTTTTTTTGAAAATTTTCCAGAAAACTAAACTGAATTGAATTGAATTGAATTTCACTCTTTGGCTGTGACTGACTGACTTTTTTTCCATTCAATAATGAATTTGTTCAAAATGAATGTTATGGACACTTTCTTTGATGACAGTTTTTTTGATCAGGAAAAAAAGGTTAGTTATGACCCTCATGGAATCAAAAAAAAACTTTAGCCTCCTATTTCGTTACAGATTTTTCATTTTCAAAAATTCAATCGAAACAGAAGTCAATAAGTCGAATAATGAGTATATCGATTGTGTGTTAAATGTGACAAGTAGTCTTTTTTTCAATTCAATTCAATTCATTCACTCTCAAACACACTCGGATATAAACTCTCCAAGTTTAAGAGTGGTAGTTTTGGGTATTCATTCAACAACAACAACCAGACAATGTACCGCAACCAATTTCTTTCCATTTCTAATCATTTTTCCGCCAAATTTCAATGATATTTTCAGTTCATTGATTGTTTTGTGTTTGTGATATTATTGGTTTCAATGAATGTTTCACAGAAAAAACACCCACAACAGCAGCCTATTACTACCCCCAAAAATCAATAAATAATTTTCAATGCGGAAAAAAAAATTCTTATAAACTATTTTTGTGAACAAACCAAATTTTTTTTTGTAAATCTTTTTGTAAAAATTCACCTTTCCCTTTCTGTGTTAATGTTTCCATTTATACAAAAACTACTAAAATTGCAATTAACTCAAGGCGGGAATTTTTATTTTCGTACAATAGCCTGATCATGTTTGGCTCCATTTAAATCGATGATCATCAAACACAATGATGATGATGATAATGACAATGGAAAATTCAAAAAAAAAAATTGTAGAAAAAGGTGACAGACAGAAATTTAGCCTTGATTTGATTTGTTGTAAAGTAGTAAGGAAAAAAAATACAATCAAAAGTTTCTCTTTTCTCTCTCTCTCAGGTATATAATGATATCGATCATTATCAATCGGCGGCAAAAAAAAAACATTTGGCAACTATTTTGATCCTGATGAGTCAGTAAAAAAAAGAAAAAGAAAACTGACTATAGAGAGGTGTGATTTCGACAACTTTCATCGACTTTTCTTGTTGTTGGAACTTGACAACCAAAAATCAGGATTGCTGTTGTTGTTTGAGGTGAACACAAAAAAAAAATCAATTCAAAACAGGCTATGATTCGAAAAAAAGATGACGGAATTGATTGATCTTGTTCACAACACATTGTTCCAAAAAAAAAAAAAAAAATTATAATTAGCCGATCGATTGGTTCGACAACAAAAAACTATACATTCGGGTTCATCATGGAGAGGGGATTGAATTCTTTTTTTGGCTAGTCAATTACCCTG